TAGGGAACTCTCTGTCCTGTTCTTCCAAAATCCAAATGTATAGGCTCTTCTAAGTAATCAGAACACAGAATTAAAATAAGGTTGTAGAAGTCTGGTCTACAGATCTAAAATTAAGATTGAACTAGACTGTTGTTTAGCAACATCAAATTAATTCAGACTCAAGAGACCCCATGGGACAAATTAGAACTGTCCCATAGGGTTGGTTTCTTGGCTGTAATCTTTACAGAAGCCACCCACCAGATCTTCAAATCCTGCTGGTTGGGTTAGAATCATAAACTTTTAACCAAATACTTTAATCCTGTACCACCAGGGCTCCTTCTTGTGCTTCAAAAAATGCAATGTACAAGTGTATTGCCCCTTAAAGTAACTTCTATGTCTAGAAACACAGGACATGATTTTGAGCTAAGGTGTACAAACTCTTTAATTTTGCTTTTGTTGTTAAGTGCCATTGAGTTGGTTCCAACCCATGGCGATCCAGTATAGGGTTCCCTCAGAGCGGCTGGTGAGCCTGAAGTCGGTTTGCAGTTCAAACCAACTGTGCAGCCAAGAGCATTAACCTACAGCGCCACACCACTAGATAATGGGAATGATCAACTTTACACAAAATTAGAGCTCTACTGGTATGGCGCTATAGAATAAGCACTGGAGTACTAACTTCAAGTTTGGCAATTCAAACCCACCCACTGCTTCTTGGAAACCCTATCTATACAGGGTCGCTACAAGTTGGAACCAACTTGATGGCACTTAACATCATGAAGAAATTATACATAATTTGGGCAGACGGATGTTACTGAACTACATGTCAAGACTGTTGAAATGCCAAATGTTTTGTTACATATATGTTTATCACACACAAAAAAATTTAAAGAAAAATTCTGAGGGTAGTCAGAAAGTATTGCTATTAAGCCCGAGTTTATACATGTACTCGGTTATTACAAACAACGTGTTTAAAACATGTCTCTATAATCAGTGGATGGCTGCAGACAAGTTCTCTCAGTGATACACTTGTCTTAATCTTGCTAGGGTGCGTTCAAAACAAGATCCAATCAAAACAGTGGCTTCTGAGAAACTATGCTAGGACAAGATCAAGGAAGTAAAAATTAGTTCAGGTGGTTATCATGACTACTTACTGTAAGTCTGGTGGTTCAAACCCACCAGCTGCTCCTCAGAAACCCTATAAGGGTAGTTATGAGTCAGAATTGACTTGACAGCACTTAACAACAACAAAGGGGTAATTTGATAGATTTTCTCCAAGGACACCTTATCCCATCCAACGTACAAGACCCAACCTTGCCCCTTCAGACATTTTGTTACCAAACTCAAAGAACATTGTAAAGGAACACGATTTGAATGCCTTTGACATGGTATGAAATGAAGAACACCATTCTTTGGGGGAAGAGTTAGAGAGATGGAAATATCACCTTCAAAAGTGTATAGACCTAGGAGGAGAATATATTGAAAAATAGTTTCACAATTTGATATTTTTCTTTAATAATGGTTTCTAGAGTTCTGTAGCAATGCTTTGTGACTGACCCTCGCGCACAGCAAAATATGAAAAGCTCCCAGATATGCTTCCATAAAATTGATATACAAATAAATGAAGATTTTATAAACATACACACAAATCATCTTCAAAGATAGTCAAATCTAGTTATTCCATTTTCAAGACCTGCCACTTAAAACTTGTGGATGTTTTTATTCATAAAAATTACAAGTGATAATTCTCATTAATATCTGTGGCAGAGAGGACAGGGTGGAGAAATAACACCAAAGGCTATTTGGAAAGACAGTGTCGCATTCTTCTCAGTTTCCTTTGTGTTGCTGTATGTGCTAAATCATTTCAGAATAAAGGAGGTACGGGAGGCATACTGCTGTCTACATACTGCAACTGATGGGGATGGTTAACTAACTACAGAGTGTACAAGATAAAGTTCAAAGAATCATGTCTGTATTTCCAAAGTTCTAAATGCCAAACCCAATTATAAGAAGCAAAACTAACCTTAAATATAACTTACCTACCAGTTACTACTGAAATCACCTTTTATTTTCTTTTATTAGTTACTACTGAAATCACCTTTTATTTTCTTTTATTAGTAGTACTTTTCTACTGAAAGACCATTAAGCAAAAAAAAAAAAGTCTTAAATATTATCAACTGCTAAAAACAACCAAGACAACTTTAGAAATATATTTGAATCACATAAACAAAAAGGTATTACATAAGAAAAATTAATGTAACAATTTATGTAAGTACCTAACATATGAGCATGCTCTTACATCTAAAACAAAAAAATTAAAGGTAACATTGATAACATATATATATACATATATATATGTTATATATATTTATTTGACAAGTGTGCATTGAAGAATTCTCTAATATAAAACATTTAAGATGTGGGAAATACTTTTTTAAGATACAGAAAATAATTATTAAGACAGGCACATCCACAATTGATATAATAAAAAACATGCTTGCAAAGATAAAATTCATTGAGCACTCATCTGTCAGATGTGCAAAAGCTACAAAATTGTTAATCACTGGAAACCGATTCTCATTTTTGTATTGCTTGAGTTCCAACACTGATTGGTATGAATTCTGAATGACATAATTACAGAATGCAGCTACTTAATATAAACACGTAAAATAACAATGCTATTAGTTTTTTTAAAAAATAATTTCCTTGTTTTTTTTAAAAAAGGCACTATATTTAGAAAAAGGTATTACAAGAAATAGTGCTTTGAGAGATCTGAAACTCCAAATCAACCATAAGTAGGTCTAAGAAACTCTAACTGAAAAGAACGCAAATATAAAAAGCTGATAAATTTAGAGATTATAAAATTGGTTTATTGTAAAAGCAATTCAAGAATACCCAGTTAAGAGTCTTATCCCAATGCTACCCAATACAACCGAAAAGCAGTTAAACATTTTACATTAGGAACAAGGACATAATAAAACAGGAGAGACCACATCAAGGCGGTGATTCAAACTCAAAAAGAGGGACTCTCTTGGGTCCTGGGTCTCCTTCAGGAGTCCAGAGGGTGTAAGCTCAAAGCTCTGTGTCAGGTATACCACAGTGCTGCTACAACATTGAGGTATAATTGGACAAATTAAAGTTGAGGGGAAATGAAGATATGCATATTCTTGTTTTGTAGGTATACTTAAGTGACTGAAAATTTCAGAACAACTGCCTTTAAGGACAGCAAGATACAAGACAAAATCTTTTATTGAAGAGAGAAATTTATATTCTATCAAGGTTCCACTAAATCTTCATAATCCACCTACTTTCCCACCCTCCCCAAATCTAAAACTACTCTGGCTGATATATAAAATACAATCTTAATCTGTGGTTTAGTAGCAAATTGTAGGCATCCCTTCCAAGTAGCTTTGATCTTCTGCACATGAAAACAACACGCTGTACCATCCGCATACTCAGCTACCCATTCTAAACAGAGTTCATTATTCTAAACATCAATGCTTCTGCACAGTGGCTGTTTCCCTTCCAGACTTAATTCAAGATTTAATCTTTCTGATGTTTTTGTAGTAAAATTCTTTGAGTCAATTATTATGAATTTTAGCCTATATAAAATCGTTATATACAACAGTGATTTCATTTCTTAGTATTTAATATAAAACTTCTTAATCTTAACGTTTACACTCCTCTAACTGAAAGGGCCAAAACACTTAGGTTTTTTTTTGTTTTGTTTTTTAATTAGAAATAAATGTATCTTGCCAAGCAGAGGCTTTTCATAGCAGCTTTGGCCAGGAAAGAGATTTTCTGTCTGTTATAAACCCTTGAAAATAAGGGTTTATTCTAGAAACAAAGGAAGACCCTTAATCAGAGCGGTGTTAAACTGGTGCCACTATAATTCACAACCATTACTTTATAGCTTATACTGAAAAGTTGATTCATGCTCATTGCATTCCTTTAAAAATACTCTTTGGAAACCATTATTATTCCTGTAGACGCATACTCTAGTTATATCTCTTCCTGTAAAAATAAAGGTATACATCAAGATTATCTCTATTTCTTTGCTAAATTCAGCTACCAATATACATGTATTAATCTGATCACTTTACCAACTAATTCACTACCTTGCAGTATTCTATACACTGTTCAGAGTCAATTCTCAGCATAAAGAAATAGGAGCAAGAAAGAATAATCTTGTAGGCAATTTTCTAATCTAGTCTTTAATGTGTTCACTTCACTTCCACAGCCCACTATATAGAGCTTATTTCTGTCAGGTACTTAGTGAGCCCACCCAGTGATGATTACCCAACAAGAATTAAAATTAGTCCAAGGAAGTAACAAAGAAAAAAATCAAGGCATTTTTTTTTGTTTGCTCCTTTTAAATTCATCAGATAATATTTATTATGTGCCCAGAGGCAACTTCTCAAGGCACCATCCATAACAACAGCCTTTTCTACAACATTTAAACTAACTCAAACACCTGCAGACTGTCCCAACCAGGTTCAAACTATCTGTGAAATACAAACCACTACTCATGTAATCTAAATGCATATATTCAAAGCTATCATTTTAAAATAAATGTTAAAGTAGGAAAACCTTAAAAAAAAAAGATATACGCTGCTATCATACTATTATAAACATAAGTGTGTGGGTGTATATATAGAAAGAGCAGATAATCAAGATTTAAATAAGATGGTTTAAAAAAAAGAGAGAAATGTAGATTTCACCAAAAAAACTATAATATCCTTCCCAAACTACAAGTATAAACAGATTCAGTAATACTAAGGTAATTTGCCTAGGTTCCAACAAAACCAACCAGACCCCCCCGCCAAAAAAATTATAAAACAAAAAACACAAGACCTATACTAGACTATGTGGCAATAATTAATATATTTCTATGGAAAATGTCTCATGCCTTATGAGCTCCTAACATAAAATCAAAGTCACTATGTGACTAATGATAGTACTAGGAGGAAAAAACATCAACCAAAAAATAAAAACACTGAAAGTCAAACAGTCTTCAGCCTTGGTTTCAGCTATCTCTTCAAATCAGCATTAAGTACTTAATATCAGATACAGGAGTTTTGGCTTGTCAAACCAGTAAGGCCTGTTTTTCCACTGGCCAAAGGCAGCTGAAGAAACAATTGCTTAAACAAACTGAATGCTGTGACATGAAGCATTTGACTTCCAAGTCTGAGTATTTAGTTAAAATGATCGTTGAACATCTAACTGGGAATGGTATCCATCATCCAATAGGCTCACTTTCCCCAGCCCCCAAAACGAGCAGTAGTTATAATAGCAAAAGAAACAAAAAAGATCTTTTTTTGATTCTTTAGAGCCAACTGTGAAAGAGGTCAGCCATATATTAACAGCAGCAATGGACAATGAAGAGCAAAATAGTAGATGAAAGAATCTTGCTGGACTTTGTTCATCTTTTTCTGTATGAGCCAGAAGATTGCAACTGCATTATTTGGAAATTTCAGGTATATACGTCTTATCTCCTTAAATCCTTCAGAGATTAAAGAATTCAGTCTACCTGAAAGCTCTATAGCCATGTAAGAAAGCTTTCTTTATCTAGCTTGGTGGCAGCCAAAACAGATTCCATGTCATTAAGGATGTCAGAACTCAGAGCTTCCTGCAGACTTGGCATCAACTCTTCTCCTTCTATGTTCATTCCAACTCCTTCTAGTGTTCCAAGGTCCACATTTGTCCCAGGAATAGCTTCAAGGTAGTCTGGGAAACGGTTCTGCTGTGAGGGTAGGGTACTTTGGTTGATAGTATCACCTGATTGGAACAGAAAGAGACAATCAAGTTCTTTCTGAAACACTAAGATCAGAGCTGCATCACACAAGCATTGAAAAATGCAGAGAAAGAAAAACACTCCCGATTGACCTCCTGAATTGATGCCCAGAGTTTACTCTAAACCAAACAACCCAGAGATAAGAAAAATAACAATCCAAAGTTTACTTTTGCTTTGGTTCAGATATTCAACTAACAGCCTGATTGCTTATTACTATGTGCAGAGCCCCAAGAGGGTCATGGACGAGGGGGAAAAAAAAAAAAAAAAGAATCCCTTGAAAACGCTCCCTTTTATGCAGCAAGGGGAAAACACAAGTATAGGACACAGCAAACCTGTACCACCAAAGTAATAGTAAGTGTAAAATGAATGATATAAACCAGGCTTTCCCTTTAGTACACTTTGGGAAACATTAAAATAAAGTAAAAGGATTGGCTAAATAAAATACTCTTTTCCACTATTTGGAGATTCACACTCATAATAACAAGTCTCCCAGGAATTCTTGAATAAAATAATCTTCGCAGCTTTGTTTCCAGGTACCCAAATTTAACCTGGCCACACAAGCCTTTTTTTTTTTTTTTAAATAAATGACAACATTAACATTCTACAGACCTGCAAAGGAGCATACTTTCAGAAACGCATAAGCCATTAAGTGCTGCAGGGGTTTGGAGAAGGGAGAAGAGTAAGGGAGTAAGGAAAAGGTTTAAGAGATGGATTTGAAGTGGCTCCTACTAAGGATGATTGAGATTTAGATAAGCAGAGAGGAAGCATCAAAGCCCAGAGCTGGAGAAACTCAGGCACAAAAGCCTTGCTTAACACTTTCAGAAGCTGACAAGTTAAAGAACTATCTAGCTAGAGCTCTAGAATGGCTTCATTTCCCAGCCAATTCTTATACTCTGGCAGAACTGTAAAGCTAGGTCACAGGCAAGCCAAAGGGGAAATGGTTCTTTAATTATGCCTGTGAGGCTGGTATTTCTTAGCTCCTCCAAGACAATAAAGTAGGTGGGCCCCACCACCTAGCCTCTCCTGCAAGGCTTCTGAGCCCCCATAAAACCTTAGTTAGATCAAAAGCTCTCAGAGAAAAGAAAGGCTGGCACTGAATTATACATAGAAATCTCTAAAAACTAAGAATAGGATGCCCAACTGCTTCACCAATTAATTAAATACTGTGTATGTGAAAATAAGCCATGTCATTTATTGTGTTTTTTTCTCCCTTAAATAAAGCTAAAGTATTAAAAACTGAGAAATGACTTAAATTATAAGCCACCATACAGAAACAATGCTAGCTCAATCTGAAGTTGTAGGAAGTACTGAATAATCTTTGTCAGCATGGCTTATTAAATCTGGCGATTATATGACCATTTCTGACAGAAGGCCAAGTTCCTAACATGAATAAAGCATTCCAACCTGTATCCATTTCATCAACGCTGTTCAGGAAGTCATCTGGAGTTCGGGGGACACTGTAGCTGCTCATGCTGAGTCCACTGTCTGTACTTTCATCTCGAGAGTGGTAGGTGCCACTGCAAAAAATGAGGGGTAAACAATACCAACACTCAAAATTCAATCCAAGGTAAAAATAAATACCTACTGAAAGTCAACATGATTTACAAGATTAGAGAGAAGATTCTTCCCCTGCATCGTTTGAAACAAGCACTCCTCTCCTCCTCTTCAGGGATCATACACAGCCCATGTGCTATGCAGTAAGACAAGACAAGTTAACCCTAATTGAATATGGTAGCTTTAAGGGACAAGATCTCTCCTTAGGTTCTGGGCCATGTGGTGGTGGTGTGGTTGTGTGCCACAGGGTCAGTTCTAAGTCATAGCAACCCCAGATACAGGGTTTGCCAGACTCCCATGAAGCAACTGGTTGATTAGAATAACTGGCCTTGAGTTTAGCAGCTCAGTTCATAAGCCACTATGCTACAGGCTCCTTAGGCTTAGGTGGTAATGTCACATTAGTACACCTACTTAGTTTTCCAAGCTGACATAAATTTTCCTGCATACGTAGTCTCTCTGACCTGGTGTGGTGCTGTAGGGAAAAGCACTGGATTGTTAACCACAAACTTGTCAGTTCAAACCCACCAGCCATTTCTCAGAAATCCTATACAGGATCCTATGAGTCAGAACCATCTGGACAGGCCTTCACAGTATAACAGTCTCTCTGCAATACCATTTGAATCTGGTGGGATGTGCGGAGCCCACTTGCTTCAAAGGCTTTCATTCCTCAGGTGGTGGGAGCAACAGGCAGAGAGGTCAAAACACAAGCTCCAGGTGGGCGTTGAGACAGGCCTGCACTAGACTTGTGTTAACTTCCTATAGTGCTGGTACAGAGAACGTAAGCCAAGGGAGGGTGGGGGGAGTCAACCCAAAATAAAGAACCAGGATCCCTTTTGGACTGGGCCAAAACAGATGCGTCACTGACGATAAAGCTCTTTTTACTTTATTGGGTGTGGTGATTTTGGGGGGGGAGGGGGGAAGTGGGGCATGGTGGACTCAAAACACCCCATCCCAAGATAGATGCTCAAGTTGAAGTAAAGATTACATACAGGTATGATAAACAGTATCATTAGAATATTACTTTAATAAACAGAACACTTTCCTGAGCTAACAGCACGTAGATATCAGCTGGCCTTGACTGTAAGATGCTTGTGATCTACTAATTCTAGAAAATGTTATGGAAAAGTTTGAAACCAGGCCAAATGTTATTTTCAATGGTCTCTGAAAATGAATATGAACTTTCACTTTCTCCAAACAGGACATTTAAGCAGCTGTTCAACTTACACGAAAGTTTTTTTCTTTTTTAAAAAAAAAGAGATTCAGTTAAATGCTCAGTAACCAAAATGTCTTCCTTAAGTTACTCAATGCATTTACCTCCAACTCCACCCCTCCCTCATTTATTCTATTGCAACCAATGATGTTGCTCTAATGCTTCTGCCAGATTGTGGTATGACTCAAAAGTCTCACATAGACCCAAGAAAACACAAATCTGCCTCTGAGACCATTTGTATACAATGAAGCCATGTCTGGGAAGGCTTCAGGATGTGGTTTGTTTTTATTTTGCCGGTCCAGATCAGGGCCAAGGGTCTGGTCCTAGTCATCACTCTATTCCTTCTGCTAAGTATGGGGCACATGTCAGACACATGAATGTACGGAGGTGTGCAGAGTTCATTCCAAGCACAGGGGAAACACATGGGCATGGTGAGGACAGAGCTTCCAAAGCCGTTTTCCTGAACTGAAACTGCTCCCCCTACAGAACTCCATCTCTTGCAGACCCCACCACTGAATAAACATTCACCAAATATCTGCTACTATATGAAAGGAGCAGGACTATAGGGTACAGTAGTGAACAAAAGCAGTAACAAGGGGATTATCTGTTACTCTATAACCTACCAGGAAATAAAACGTCAACGTGCATCCCAGTTCTCATCTTAAGTTTTATGGAAGAATCTTGACAAATTGACTGCCAGAAGAATATACAATCTATCCATTTTCCTAAATTGTTGAATTTTGTCCCTGGATCAATACATGTACCATCAGAAAAATGACTACTAGAAATACACTGAACTAACATTTTTCCTTGTGAAAAAAGTTCCGTGCCTATGACCTTTCCTAATAAGTCTCAGTTTAAGTTCAAAACTATGTTTTTGTTGTTAAAATGCCATCGAGTGAGTTCTCACAGCAACACTGTATAGAGTTTCTAAGGAGTGGCTGGTGGGATTGAACCACCAACCTTATGGTTAGCAGTCAAGTGCTTATCCTTGTTGTTGTTGTTAAGTGCCATCGAGTCGGTTCTGACCCATAGCGATCCTACAGCACTACAATCTTGTATAAATCCACCTAGGATCTTGCAGAACTTTAAACACTGTGTGTGTCAGAAGAAAACGTCAACCTTACATACATTTAAGAATGCCTTCAAAGACAAACTTCCCACGTAGGGCACCAGAACTACTTTTAAGATTGGGCAAATGATGTCAAACTCTATTATACTAATATTTTTAGCAGACTAAGATATTGTAGTTTTTTTCTCTTAGAATTATAAAGGTTTCATTCAATTGGTGAGAACTGAAGTGATAGCATAATAGTTTATATTCTTTAAAGTGTGCTTCAAATTGCATCCCCCCCCCAAAAGCATAAAACCCAGAGAGTATTGTAAAAACTCCGAATCATTGACAATCTAGAAGAATGAAATCATTTTAGTCAAACCTTAATTATAAATAGTTCCTAGGTAAAGAACATTACCTACTGCAGCTTGTACAGTTTCAATCTAGCACAGTATGTATATGTTACATTTTCACAATCTGTCTAAAACCCAAGATTTGTGGGTAACTCACTCAAAAGAAACCCTAAGCTATGCTATTTTCAAATACTATCATTAATCTTAATGCATTTCTTGAAAGAAGTACAACCTTACATTTCATCTCCTTGAACTGTAGCCCTTAAGAACATAAGGCCTTAGAGTGCTGCTGTATTGAAATCTCTCAGGCTGAACACCTATGTGGAAAATTCCTTCCAGTGATCTTAATAATGTAATCCTAAGTAGGTTTTGGATGTGGTTCATTTATTTCACAGAAAGACGCGTGCAAGTTGCTTCATGATTCTGTGATTTTAAAGAACTGTTAGTCAACAGTATAGGCAGAAGCAAACACGTTGTGACTTTGAATAAGTATCCCCTCTACAAGTCTGAACAGCTCACTTCCTCTCACAGGAGAAAGCTTTTAATCCTCAACTTTTATTGTAGCTGCCATTTAAGGAGAGATTCATTTACAGCTAGCTATGGTTTTGGGCCCACACAGATGTTCAAAACAACCTATTACAATACAAGTACTCAGCAAAATGGTCTAAAGCTGTGATCCTTTAAAACTGCTATTTGACAGTAGCAACTCTCACCCACCTATTGAGAAAGGGATCTGAGCTATTGGTCGTCATTGTTCTCAGTTCCTGAGACATCCCCGGAGAAGATACTGGATTTTGAGTCCCACCATCCTGTTCCAATGTTGGTAACTGGCTACGTAGAGCTAATTCCTAGGAGAAAGAACAAAAACAAACAAACATGGACATACAGAATCAGTGTACTGATTATAAATAAAATTCATATTAATCCAAACAAACTGACATAACTTTACTATCTAGTTTCATTTTGTTATTTTCCTTAATCAAACATACATTCTCAAATTCTCCAATACAATGAAAGAGAATGGTATCTGGTTTTTAACAAATTCTTCTTCTTAAAGTGTATCTTTACTCACCAAGCTTCAGATGGTTTTGTGTGCTGGACACCAGCAATAAAAACAACGAAGTAGGAAGAACATATGTTCATTACCAGAAGAAGACACCAATCCCCTCCTGCCCTCCACTCCAAGGGCAATGCTTTACACTCTGCTATTAAGAGTCACAATTTGGCATCATTGTTTTTATCTTGAGCTGGAAAGAATATACTCTTATCTTCCGGCAGGAGGGACTTTTTTAAAATAAAGGACACCAGAAGTAAAAAACACAAATCAGAAGTCTCTCCACCATAACCATATCATTAAAAATGGGATAAAATAAAATTCTTTTAGGGGTATTCAAAAATTTCTCACCAAGATTCCACCTGGAAATCACAGCAATGGCGGATGGTTTCAGACGGCTTGTGTAATCAGACTTCGAAACAACACAGATTGTATTTGCCCAGGATCTCATTCTTATAAGATCTATGACACCTTCCCTCCGAAGCCTTTCCACTGTGTCCCTTGAGCACTTATAAACATTCTCTCTACAAGAGCACCAGCATCCTCTCCCACCACTTTTCTGGTGTGACTTGAATTAAGGCATTTTATCATAAAGGTCACTGCCTCCCCTGCAGCCTTCCTGAGCAAAGGCTAATCATTGAAATACAGTCCTCCCACCCCCTTTACTCCTACCACAACTATTACCACTGGGTCCAGAGGCAGTGGGGTTCTGTACTGCCAATTCTAGACTATGGTTCCTCTCACATGCACTTCCTTTTACTTATGTTTACGCTTTGTTCTTTTACAGGCAGTCCCCGGATCATAAATGAGTTCCTTTTGTCTTCAAATTGAATTTGTACGTAAGTCATAACTGACATCAGTCAGTAGTTTGTCTTAGTATTCAGTGTATAATACCTTTCTATGCATTTAAAAAACACAAAAAAAGTTCTTTTTGCACCATCCTTTAAACCTTGGATTCTTAGCTAGATAATTGACAGAATTCAGGGGTCTCTGAATGTGGATGGGGAACAATTTAATTTCATCACTCTTCCTTTGACTTTTCACTGGTAAGTATTTTCACCCAACAGCTCCTGTAAATATTATAGACTCAAAGACCCTAGCAGGGTTTTACTCTGTCCTATTAAGGTTGCTATGAGTCACAACGGACTCAGTGGCACACAACACACAATGCTAGATATTACATCTTAATACAGTGTGATGTTGTTGTTGTTGTTAAGTGCCGTTGAGTCAGTTTTGACCCATAGCGA